AAGTCCCTCCCCCATCCACCTTTATTCTTTTCTTTACAATAAGGCTTTCAAATAAGTCATGGCTGTACGGCAGTGAAGCATTGGTGTTGAGCACTGATGTCATGCTGTCGTTGGTGATGAGATTTCTGAAAGCAACCACTGAATGCCCGAAATCTACTGAGACCCTCAGCTTCGCTACACGCTGACCAGACAGACAACGCCCCCTCAATATGCAGCGTATCACAGCCTTGTATTAAAGCCAGATAGTGTGCGTCAGCGTTGGACCAAGTCTAGGCAGTGTCCTTCTAAAGCTTGAGGCCGTTGTATTTTCGCACTCTCACGCACTCACGCTCTCAACTCGCTTGTTCGGAATAGAGCTGTTGTGTTCCTTTTTGTGAGTCTTTTCTACGGCACTGGAGCGGGGTCGGCAGTCAAATACAACAGACTGGCGAATCAGCAGATATAACATTTTTGATTGATACGATGGGACTACGAAACGCTGGGTTAGGAGCCTAACCAGTTCCATGACAAAGGGAGCGGTGAGAGGAGCTTTGAATCTCTTAAATTCGGTAAGCCATGTATGAAGACTTCACCTCTACATTTTCGAGACGGATTCAGATAATCCCTTGTCTTCAATCCTCAAGACACTGAGGAAGATGTTTGTGAATAAATTTGAGTGAGAGGCTCAATAAGATGAGCGCAGTGCCTGCATGGAAAATATCGAAAAAAACTGACGGTAAAAACCGAAAACGGAAGCTCCACTTCATTCAAGTGTTGGGGTGCCCAACGACAACGGCTGAGGGGTGTCTAGTCCATTGGCAGTCACCTACCTGAAATCCATAAAATTTCGAAGTGCTCAAATGTTACTAACCAAACTAATAAACTGTAGGGAAATCAACGTTTCGGAAGACAGGATAAACATACCTTGAAGTAGGAAAATATTGTTCGGACTTCCTCTTCGAACCCCATATCGATCATTCGATCTGCCTCGTCCAAGACGAGGTAACGGCATACTTCGAGATTGAATATCTTCCTCTGAAGCAAATCGATTAGACGACCGGGTGTAGCTACTAAAATATGGACACCAGAGCGACGGAAGGTTTCTGCTTGATCCTTTACGGCTGTACCACCGATACATAGGTTGCAACGAATTTCCGGGAATCCCGCTGCGACCAGCCCATCAACCAGGCTGGAAAGGACTTCGTGTGTTTGTCGTGCCAACTCGCGCTGGAACGGAAGATGAAATGTTCGATCGACGCAACCAATGATGTTGCTTTAGGGAAAGCCCGAAAAATTGCCAACACCGGGTGAGGAACACAGATGAAGCCCTAGGATAGATAAAGAACCCTCAATTGCGGCCACTTTTGGTACGTAATCGCCAGGCATCTCGAAGGTAACCGGAAAAGTTCACCGAAACACACACAGGGATGACAAAAGACCATAGACTCTTGGACTGAAGCTAACATCCTAGTCCTCGAGCTGCCTCAGGTTATGTGGTAAAAATATAGCAAACTGCTAACCACACACGACTCGACTGTTTGCGAATGGAACTGCAAGCAAAAGTGCATTAATCGCACACACGCTTTTACGGGTTCCCATGTGGCGAAAGACAGGTGATACAGGACAAGCATCTCTCAAGTGATAGTCTCAGAAGTCACTGGAAGATTTTAACCAAGACCAAAGACTTAACTGGAACCTTTCAGCTCTTTCCATGAAGGTGTTTCAAGTCAGTCGAAGAAATAAAACTATCATCCCCTATATTCTAACCAAGTCAGGAGGCTATAAAACCGACTGGATTAACCAGCCCATCGCACGTCATCAGCGGATAGGCCTCTTGAAGTAGTAGCGTCTGCCACCAATGGGGTAATGAGAACTAACCCACTAAAAGGGAAACAAACAGCCAACGCCAAAACGCTACTGTTCAATAAATATAATGGTCATACTGTTTCCTGCATAGTATAAGAGAAACAAGAAGTTGGAGTTTTCCTTTGGGTTGATGGTGAGGTGTAAATCAGGTATAACCACCGCATTTAGATCTCCGAGGGGAGGGGCTGAAATTCACTTCAGGTTTCAGTCAACAACGGTGTACGATTGCGCCTTGATTTAGGTCAACACAGTGTTCGGACGCCGATAGTGTAGCATGAGGAAGTGAACTGGTTGAGGTCCACAACGCACGATGACAAAAACATGGGGAAATAGGGGATCAACCTTGAAGGACAAGCCAGTGGATGGAACAGCACTATTGGATACCGAACTTCCTTATTTGAATGAGGATATCTAGCAAATTGATGGGGTGGATCTCGAATATCTAACCTCACATATGGCATGAAACAGCTCTGGGTTGTCCTTTAGCCGGAGCAGGCTCAAGCAAACAGAGCGAGATCTGGCATCCCAAGAACTTGGATGCTAGTCTGTCCGTTTCATACCAGCCAGTACATCATCGCTCAATTTGTGCCCGGAAACCACTCATCGCGATTTCACGCCACCAGCCCGGTGTCCTCAAAGTTCATTTTCAATGTTATATTCGCAGTCGTGTTGGAATATGATTATGGGAGTGTGATAAAAGTCATTTAAAACAAGGCAATCAAGTGAGTCGACCAATGTTTTTATATCCGACAAGACGACGACTGTTGGTTTGCTTTTCGCTTGGCCATGTTCTATGAGTTGCTAAAAAGTATATATATGGTCGATGCCTTCGTAACTCGGATACGATCCTTCACTGCATGGGCTCTCACGAGTGTTGGTAAGCCTATTTGGGATGACACCGCTTCGCAGTCCAAACTGATAATCCAGAAATTCACACATTCGGCCCAGATGCCTCTTTAAAGTCAGAGGGAAGGTGGGGATCTGTTATTTCTCGGACAATTCTCTCGTCTTCTAAATACTTTGCATGAGTTGTGTCGGATAGTGAATAAGTTGTCCTTCCAAAACAGAGTTTGAACTTGATTCCCCTTAGAGAGTTTGGTTCCATCTTCGTTCTCTGGAAAAGTTGTTTTGGCCGACTCACTACTGCAGTTGGTTGAGGCGTTTACAGATATACTGAACAAGTTACACGTCTTTGATTGTTGGCTATTAACTCTGACAAAGCCAGCTAATCGTCTGCTAACGGGAATCCAATTCGACACAACGCGATTGGGTAATGTGCTGCTACTGGTGCCCGGAGAGTGAATTGTAAGAAGCCAGAGTTGTGTTGTGTTACGACGAACCACCGTAGTTGGGTCATGTGTGTGTTTCGGAGACCCCACAAACGGCAACAATCAGTGAAATGAGTAAGCAAGGGAGATCTGTCGACCTAATAATTGCACTGTGACACATCTGATGGGATATTTTCACATGGAAAGTGGTCTCTGGAACCAAGGCTATAAGGGATTTTCAGCCGCTTTTGGATCGGCCTAATCCGACCACAGGAGAGTACACGAGTATACCGGAAAGTTGCGGTATGCATGGAGTGCTCAGCACAAACAGCAAACACCGACAATATGCTCACTATACGTTATTGAAGCAAAGTTGGTTACTGATATCCATCCGGCATCTATTTGAAGCCTTAAGCCTCCAATGCCGTGCGGCAGTGGCTATTGCTAAAACCATTCCAAAGCGAAATCGTTCAGCTGTAGCACCCTTTCGGTGCCTAGCTGCCGCACGCAGGAGAGGAGGCACGATGGCTGGGATACTGCCAGGTCGCCCAAGCCTAGACAGGGGAAGTCGAGAAGCAGAGGTCGGGTTCGAACCACGGACCTTCCGGTCAGTGAAAATTGAATCTAGTAGGTGTAAGTTTGACAAGAAATAACACAAGATGACATTTGAAGTGTTATATTTTTGAAACATGACACGATCTTAAGCACTGAAATGGTGATGAAAAATTAAGATGACGATATTAACAATCAGGTGATAAGGCATGAAGAAAAGTAGAAAAAGTAACAACTTACTGACGGTCCTAATATTAAACCATAGGGACCTTCGCCAGGAATAAACGGGATTTTCAGCTCCTGATCCATGCAAAACAGTACGATCGGGATCGCAAACACCATTGTTTTTCCAGAACCTGTGAAAGCTATACCAATCATGTCTCTCCCACTGAGCACTGCTGGTAGACCTTGCATCTGGATAGGCGTGGGACTGGAGATACCTCGTGCCTTGAGAATATTCACCAAAGCGGCAGGGAAACGCATTTCAATGAAGTTACGGATCGGAGGCGGAACGTCTTCGCCATCAATCAGAATGCGGTGCTTCTTGCGTATCTCATCGGACTTCTCTTGTGTTTGTTCACGAATGTACGAAGGTGGAGTCCAGCTACACAATGGAGCAAGGTAACGTTTGAAATAGTCAAACGGACCACAAACTTACCCCGTCTGGATGGGTTTGTCATACTGAATACCTTTGGCTAGTTCAGCAACGCCCATAAGTGCAGTCTTTTCGGCCACACTCTCCAAAATTTTCGCCTCAACTTTCAGCTTCTTATCTCGCTCGGTTTCTTTTCGTTCTACAAAGAGCCAGACGAGATGACAGGTCGCAAATCGGGACAAAACCTACCTTCTGCCTTTTTCTTCAACTCCCACATGCGGTCGAAAAGGCTGCCTTGCGCATGTGGTCCAATATAATCCAGGTCATCACTAGTTTTGGTCTTCTTGCCGCCGGCAGCATCACCACCACCGCCATCGTCCTGGTCCGCACCGGGGTCTCGTCGNCCGTACCCTCGTCTTCCTTTGGCTCTTCCGAGTAGGCTAGGTTTCCAAGCATTTTTTGCAAGGAAAAGAGCTACACAAAATGTAAAACACGGAGATAGATCTTATATCAGATGAACCGATCAAACAAGGCCAAGGCATCGAATAAGACCTCTTTCTGGGAACCGTACAAATTTCACATCTACGAACCATCGTACAGAGATGCCCAACCAGAATGTATTGCAGGTATATAAAATGGAAACGAGCACATTGACTCTTGAGGTATTCTGGATGTGAATTGTCACAAAGCATAGGACAGACAATTTTCTGGATCTTGGCTAATCAGTTGATCTACAACGCGTTGATCCTTAACCTTTTTCTTTGTGCCAACCCCCCCCCCCAAAGTCTTTCTACCAAGAAACTGCTTCATCCTTACCAAAAAATCAGCAGTGCACATCCCGTAAACCTTCAGGGAGTTTCGAACCCGCGACCTACCGGTTAGTGGTTTGAACACTTAACCGTCTGGCCACGAGCGGCTGATCAATAGTCTGATAAACTCGCAGTTAGGACGCAGCACCACCACCAAGGAATCCATATCACGTGGTCCTCGAGTAGCAACTTCTTATATGAAGGTTACTCACCCTGTGAGTTGTCCTTTCTTCTGAACTACCCATAGATTGTTGATGGTGAAATCTTGGGTCCGAAACTCCCCGGAGCTGCGTGAGATATGCAGCGCTGATGATCCTCAATGGGAATGAAACAGCTGTAGTGCTCTTGAGCTTCCCAGTATAGATTGGCTTCACTTGTTGGGCGAAGTTTTGATCGAAAATTCTCAAATCTTTTGACACCACAAACGACTCGAAAACGGATCACTTTAACTGGTGAAAATACTCACTACAGCTTTTGGGCTTCCTCTCCAAGATTGCTCGCCATATCACTTCATCAGAAATTCTGGGATACTTTGGCTCAGCCAACATACAGGAAAGTCTCCATCTTTCCATAAAACCACGGGTGTGTGCAACCCAAACGCGGAAACTTGAACCACTCTGAGGAACCTCAATACCAATAGACTGCCCGGTGGCAAGCGCCTTCAGTGTGTGCACTGAAACATAATGTTGTTCACACAATATAGTCTAGGGGAAGGATCAGGTAACTGTAGCAACTTCACTGGTGAAACTAGATCGAACAACAGGCTCGTATGACAGCTGTGTTCAGGATTGGGAAACCTGGCCAGTGTTCGAGGGCCTCGCCCGCTGTGCTGGTTGGACATCTGAGGACACCCAAGTGACATGGTCGATGCACCTGCAACCAGCTTGAAGTAAATCAAAGAATGACACCTTATGCGAATGAAAATGGAAGCCCTTGCTCCGGGGTCAAGTAGTCACGATGCGCTGATTTGTCTGGCGCTCGGCGGACGAATTCAGACTGACGGCGTGTGCGGAGTGCAGTTACAACGCAAATAAGGCTGCGCATCCGTTCAACACGATCATCGCTGTTATAGGATCATTGCGGGTAGATACATTGGGGAACTTGTGGCGAAATGCTGACGCACTTGCAGTATGGACGTGAAGGACGGGCAGATCACGCACTCCCACCGATGGTTTTTCCGCGTATTAAGATCCCGAAGAACCGGGTGGGAATTCCAAAAGGATAATAGAATCACTTAGAAAAGCAGCACGTCGGGGTACTCAGTGCACCCACGAATACTGACCGTCGTCCGCTGTGCCTCATCCTCCCACCGAAACTAGCAAACTGGACATTGGACCAATTGATCAAGCTCGGCAACAGTCCTTCCCTACAGACCAGCACTGTCTGTTTCCAGAATTTCCACCAAAATTGAAGAAGGAAGCACCACTGTCCAAAAGACAGCTCTCAAGACCAGCCACCCAAATTTATTTAAAACATGGTCACGCCAGAAATATGGGTTTGTGACACCTCAATGTGGAGAATGTGTCCACGACCACCTATCTAGGTTGCTTTCGTTCCTTGGGTGGATCCGCATGGCTCGCAAGCTGATGTCTCACGCTCCAAATGCATACAAATAAAGACTTCGGGAACGGCACGTATGTTGACGTTCATAATCAGATGTGCGGCGACTGTACCCGCGTGTATGGGTCCATCAAACTCACCCATTGGCCTTCCCTATAACGCAGTGAGCTGCTCGGAATTCACACAAGCACACAAGTGGCGGTCCTAATCGTGTCAGCATTTGGTGGTTTACGGGTATTCGTCCCAGAAGAAAAAACGCGGGAAACCATCATCGTTTAAAAACATGAAACGTACCTGTTGTTTTTTTCGTTCCTTGATCGGAACATAGGGCACATAGTCCTCATCGTCGGAGAAGTCTGACAGTTTTGATGAATCTTCCGAATGCCTCTTCTGAAAAGCGAAAATTAAGCGTATGGAAGGCTAAAAATTAGAAAGCTTATATCGGACAGCTTTGGAATGTACAGTGGCAAAGAACACTGCACTGTGTACCTGCTTCATTCCCCATCGACAAATCGCGGAAAACAATCGTGTAAACAAAATCAGATATAAACGAAAAAACATTTTAAGCGCTCACCAACAAGCGTCAATTAGCTTATGTTAACTGATCACACTGTCCCCTACCGCCCTCATACAACTGGAACAGATAGTGTTATCTGCCAAAAGATAAAACATTCATCACCAGATTCAGCTTTAAAATACAAATAGGTTTTGTGGTGGTTCCAGCTATCACGATTTACTGAATAATTGGATGGGAAGAGGACCACACAATGGAGGCAACAGACCAAATCGCCGATCCAGTCATGATTGTATGTAGGTTGTTAATATACCCTATTGTTGGGTAAGTAACTAAAACGAGGTGTGCATTAGTGGTGCGTATACGGAGTCGATTGTGTCCCATCTTACGGCGTTTCTAACCCTTGATAAACCCGCCTATCAAATGTGGCCAGCGCGACCAAATTAGCTGGTGACAGTTTTCCCATCAGAGCGAATATTTAGAGCTGGACCGGTCCGTGAGAAAAACGCAAAGAAAAAGGTGAGATAAAATAACAATTTTTGTGACCCCATGAAATAAAGCGTACAAAATATCAGAAAGTGTTTTACAGGTAGGGTGAATATACGTACCATTGTGTTTCACAGTACCACCGGCACTAGGATTGTGAAGAATATGGATAAGTGGTGAGCGTCCAGATGTCCGACGTCAAGCTCTGAAAGGTGAGATATAAAAGCTGAGGCATGTTGATAAAGTGAGCTGAAAGTGGTCACCCTGTATGGATGAATGTGGAACAGCAGCGCGGTCCAACGGTTGTTTGTTGACAAGCCCCTAACGTGCTTAACTGGGAATGTAGTCCTCATACGGGTTTAAGATCACTGTCTAACTTTAAATGTAGCGGAAAAGTAATAGGACTAGTTCGTCATCATAACCATTGACTTCAATATCAGATAAGAACACAGATGCTTCACAGCCATACAACCACGCCCATTTTCTCAATAGTCTTATGATGAAAAGAAAGTAATCGAGCAAGGATGGAGACCTAGAGCTAGCCTACCATAAACATCCGAGACTCAGTCGGATTATCTGGATAGAAACTGACAACATGCCACTGACTTACATCGATTAGCATATCGTCCATAAACATCCGAGACTCAGTCGGATTATCTGGATAGAAACTGACAACATGAACTCCACTGACATCGATTAGCCACCATATCGTCCAGCGTACTCGGCCAGGCAGGAGGATCACATGAACCTCATCCCGAAGGGCGAACGACAACAACAGCACTTGAACTTTTAGTAACACCATTCCCTTCTGCCATGTTATCTCCTGTTCGTCTTTAAGTTTCCGCCACTCCGGATTGGGAAATCAGTGCTGGTCTCGGCGGGCAGTAACTTGGCATGCGTAAAACATGGCCTAGTCACTTTGACTTGCAGTGCTGAATACATTCATTGAGTGAAGCACCGCCTGCTTTAACCAGAACCCGTCTCCTGATCATTCCATTCCCAATTCGCTGGTTCTAGCCTAGCTATGGCTATGAGATATCGGTGGCTTAAGACCTGGAAATGTCTCAGTTCCTCCACCTGAAGTTGTCCATTCTCGCTGCCATACAACAGTATAGTGGTGAATTTAAAGTAGTTAACTTGGAGGGGATATGATGAACAAAACGAGTCAGTACAAGGAGTGATAATCGTTTGTCATGGCTCTCCTTTGTACTCACATTGTCGTTTCGTATTAACCATGCTTTCGCCTCCACTTTCAGCTTACGTATGTCTATTCTTAGACAAGTAAGGCACTATTCATTCTAGGCTATTCACTCGTGCTCAATCAGGATCGAAATTCTATTCATAACAATTCACTTGTCAAATAATACAATGGAACCGTTGTTGCGACCCAAGTGTTTTGACATAGATCCAGACGCCACAAGGCGTTGGAATGATTGGTTTGCAACCTTCCAAACGTTTCTGAGCACTGTCGAATCGCCTAATCTAAATAAACTCGAAACTTTGATCCATTTTGTGGATGGAACTGAACAGGTTCACAACGTTGACTGTCCACATTGCGAATCCGCTATCAGTACACTTGAGAAGTTGTACGTTCATCCTAAGAATATAATTTATGCTCATCACCTACAAACTTGCAAACAACATACCAGTCAAGATGTTGATCAGTTTACCCAGAGGCTTAAATCCTTCACCAAAAATTGTGAGTTCAAGGCGGTGCCCGCCATTGACCATCAAAACGAAAGTGTACATGATGCCCTGATCAACGGACTTCAGAGAAATACTTCTGCCTCTCAATGAACTCACTCTCGATGAAGCACATGAATTGGCTAAGTCATTAGAATTGGCCCACAAACAAGCTCAGTCATACTCGCATAACCAACCGATATCGTTTTCTACGGCTGCAGCATCTTTACAGACATCTACAATTACCCCTTCACACTCAATCACCCCTGATTCTACACCTTATTTATCGTCAATCAATTCTCAGATATGTTATTTTTGCGGTCGTTCCAGGCATCTACGGTCCAAATGCCCCTCGAGAGAAGCACTTTAAGTCGTGGCAAAACAGGACATTTTCAGCGTTTGTCGGCCAACTCTGCAAAACAAGATCACTCAAATTGCACGACAGATTCTGCCTTATCTTCCCTGTTGACTGTTGCAGCCCCGAACTGCTTGTCCGTCACGGCGACCAGCATAAAGGTGAACGTAATATTGCTTCAGGCTCTCATAGACACAAGAAGTTCGAGCAGTTCGTACACATGGCTGGAAGATATATGCTAACGACCATGGCATCTAACTCTCTGATGTGTTCAGCTGGCGGCTACTGGTACTGTGTTCGAGTTACCCCTCGCTACACAATCCAACGGCCCGGGTGAATGTCATGACCATCACATTGTCGGTTCGTATTAACTATGCTTTCGCTTTCACTTTCAGTTTATGTACGTCTATTTACAGACAAGTAAAGCGCTATTCATTCTACGCTTTTCACTCTTGTTCTCAATCAGGATCGATATTCTATTCATAAGACTGTTAAGAAACGGGATCCAAGAGGGAGCTGTTAAGATGGAGAGATGGGGAGTACACAAGTGTGTGTACTTAATTGGATGATCGCCTCATTTGAATTTGATTGGATGGAATCTGGATAAAAGAGAGTACTGCCGATAGCTAAACTGCTCCAAAAAGCTCACTGAACCACCATTCCTATATGGGCAGCAATGAGGCTACTTAGTATCATCATTGATAATCTCCAGAAAAGGCTGCTAAGACGTGGAATCAAGCGCTCAAAACGATGGTTCGCTGACTATCTGCTGTTCGGGAAAACTGTTAACTTTCACCGTGGAAAACGGATCGAACCTCAAATCGTTTTTGAGCGCGGATACACGAGCGCATATCTTACTGTAACTGACACCAAAGTCCCGACTCAGATGGATCTCAAAATCAAACGTACAGCTTGTGTTTCTGCGTGGTTGCAAGGCGTTACCCTTGGAGGCCACAGACTCGAGGCATTTTCAGGCTTCTGACCATCGTTGCCCTTGAACCGTTAACGCAGAATGGCGTTAGCGGAAAACACCCACTACGAGCGCGATTACCCGTAGACAGAGTTAAGTGGCTTCAGTTATCGCATTTCCCTGTTAACAGACGAATGGTTGAAGGTGATCTAAAGCGCTGTTGGCTAGGGGTACCTTTGTGATAAAAGTGTTTTGTGCTTTGTTGTGTAGACTGGTGAAATTCGACAATGTAGACGACATTCTTTCGCTATTTGACAAACTTGCATCCACACCTCTAAAGCACAACACTTGACTTCTCAATCTCCCGTACGTCGTTGAAACCTTGCGCTGAGGAACACGAGTTTCTTATTGATTTGCTCACCTTGAAGTCGCATGGATGTCACGACATATGAGGTCAATGCACACATTGCAGAGGAACGAGTAGTCGTCGGAAACATCTTACTGAAGTTGAAGAAGCCGTAATGGAATGTGTACTTTATAGCTAAGGACTAGCCACTGATCGGGAGGTCTTAAGTCCTGAAATAGTCAAGCGCCAATTTAGCATGGGAGGTTGTAGGCGGCTGCAGCATGTTCGCGCTGAAGTGGTTTGTGGGTCTGTGCTTGGTAATGATTTGCAATCGCTGGAGCAACAACGGAAGCTTCTCGGATTACGCTGGTCGCGATATCCCTAAGGTCTACCGCAGAGAACTTCATATTCTATTTTAAACCCTTGATGATGGGTGATAAATATGAAGATGTCAGATGACGTTCAAGGTTGTGCGTGGGCTGAGATAGTGTCAACATGTCCATACCTAGACAGAGTCCCCAACCAAAGACTTGAGCCCAAAAGTATGACCTCTAGGCAGCGGCATATTACTATAGTGGACAGAAGGCTCAAGTGATAAAGCACATCGCCTTCCAAGATGTTGCGGTCGTCGAAAGTAGTAGCAACACCGCCGAAAACCTTGGTGGGTCCTGAACCCGTCTCTCGAAAGCAAACAAAGTCACATTAGTCTGAGAAAATCGTTACATTGTATACCTCAGTCTTAGTCATTACATGTGAAGAACATACCATGGGTATGTCATGGCTAAACTGAGTGCTACAGCGTAAATATGCAGACGGGTGTTCTGCAGACAACTCAGACCCATCATGACCATCACCAACCTCAGAGACAGCAACATTAGTGTAGACACTGATACTTCACTGCCGTACGGAGGGCTTATTCAGTTGTATGTAAAGCCTTAAAGTGAAAAAGAGACCCAAGTGATAACTTAACCCCGGATATTAAGAGCTTATCAACCCTTATGTTGGTACACTGACCCGGATATCCCTGTAATGGCTTCATTCTTCTCAAGTGCTACGAAAGTGTCCCCACACCGAGTTCAGTATAGAATCTTTGAAC